GTTGGGGGCAATATGCTGTCTCTGTAAACCGCTTAGAGAGGGCTGAAAGCCCTATGAAGCGGTATATAAGTCTAACTGCTATTGCTATTGCTATTTCTATAACCTATGTACCAAGTAGGCACTAACCCTGTACCTTTTAAGAACCATCTGTCTTTAGGACCCAGGATGCCTTTGTAGACTCATCCTCATCTGAAGTGTCTTCCATCTTCATCTTTTAAGGAGGTGAAAGCCCCTAGGTTCTTCCTGGGTAGGGCAGTTCCTGCAATTCCTGCTGTTCTTCAGAAGAGGACTCTTCCGGAGAGGAGTGGCAGTTGTTGAATTCAGGTGAAGGTAATTACACCCTTCTGTGGTATCAAAAAGGGTGAGTTCCTAGTTTCGTGGTGAATTCCAACAATGCTTGACCAACCTTAAGTTTCAGCAGTGTCTGTCAAATAAAGTTGCATCCCATCAGTCATCAGAGGGAAATTGTGCATTATGACACATCCTACGTGCATTCTTTTCACAAATGCCTGGAGAGGATATATATCTGCCTCCTCCGAACATCGTATCACATTCTTAATGTACAGTGGTCCTGCAGAACATAAAGTTAATTTTTCTAAGTAAACCAATCGGTACCCCAGTGCAGACGAAGCTACCACTGAATGATCTATAGTAGCTCTGGAAACTCAGTCTCAACGAGGAAAGGATAAGTTGTAGCAAAAATGATCCCCCCCCCAAAAAAGTAATGACTCTCAAACTGAATTTGACTCAATAAATCAGTTGACTCTAAAAATATCATAAACCTTGAAAGCACAGCTCAGAGTGTTTTACAAAACTCAACTGTCACCAGGATTCCATTTCTTTGCATCTTGTTATTCGATCCAGGATCACATAGGGTTTTTTAAATAATATTTGGCATATATTTGGAAATAGTAGGTGGGAGAAGAGAAATCAGAGAGGCAAATAAAAGGCCTTTTGAAGTTGAAATAAAATTTAAAAATATACTTTTATTATTATTTATTTGTCTTGTATGCCGCCCACTCCCGGAGGACTCCGGGCGGCTCACAAAAGACAAGG